ATCCAATATCTCCCAAGAATTTTGACATGAACCTGGTGTACAACAAATGTAAAATTGCATGTTTCCACTCCGCCGAAATAAATATCCATGGGCATTAATTGAGTAACCTTCTTGGAGCCGAAGGGCTCGTTCTTGTTCTTGGAATCAAGATAACGGAAAAAGTACCAGGATGAGTCCATGAACGTATCCATTGTGTCGGTATCTCTTTTCGCTGCCTCGCCACCACGAAGGTGCACTTGGTATTCACAAAGCTATCGATTTTGGCCAAAGGAAGCCCTCTCGAAACCTCGTCCCTATTAGGTAGTAGAACAGGAAGCTCTTCATCTGGGACGGGAACCAATCCACAGTCATTGCAGTGCACCATTGGTATAGGAGCACCCCAGTACCTCTGACGACTGATCAACCAATCTCTAATTCTATATTGCACTTTAGATTCACCCTTGCCCACTTTGCTCAACATTTCTGTGATTTTCTTTGATGCTTCGGATGCGATTAAACCATTGACGGAACCTAAACTTTTTACGTTTCCAGGAATTAAAGTGGAATCGCAGAGACGACCACTCTTGGCAACATAAGGAATTTCATACTCTGAACCAGCGTCCTCAGGCCCTATTGTCAAGACTGGAGGTATATTCGGGTTGTGGAGTTGCCAGAATTCAAAGTCCCGAGTATCATGGCCTGGACAGCCCATAACCGCTCCACTTCCATAAGAGCTCAAAACGTAGGTAGCAGCATACACCGGGACATCATAAACTTCCCGAGCAGAGCCCTCGGTATCTATAGGGATTGAAACCTTCAAGTTTTCAAGTTTATACCCATCTTTAGATTCGGAATCGTCTCCTGAATGTTGCGCAATGAATGCCTCTAGCTTTTTGTCCTTCTTGGCCTCAGCTTGGACTAGAGGATGCTCCAACGAAAGAGCCAAAAATTGTACACTAAACAAGGTGTCAGGGCGAGTGGTGAACACGCTTATTTCTTCATCAGTGTTAGTAGCAAATCTAATAGTCGCTCCCGATGACTCGCCTATCCAGTTTTTCTGCATCACCTTAACCTTTTCTGGCCAGTCTTCGAGCACCTCGCAATCTTTCGCAAGGTCTTTGGCGTACTTGGTGATTCCAATAAACCACTGTTCCAAATCTCGCTTTTCAACTTTTGCACCCGACCTCCAAGATCTGCCTTCAGAGTCTACCTGCTCATTAGCAAGGACTGTTTGGTCCACTGGGTCCCAATTAATCTGTGCCTTCTTACGGTAGGCCAATCCGTGCTTTACAAGAAGGAGAAATATCTTCTGTGTCCACCTGTAGAATTCTGGATCACAAGTGGAAACTTCTCTGTCCCAATCAAAATCAGCAAGCATCAAATCCATCTGGGCCTTCATTTTGTTGATGTTATCGCGGGTCCATATCGCTGGGTCTATTCCGTTTTCTATGGCAGCATTTTCAGCCGGCAATCCAAAGGCATCCCAGCCCATTGGGTGGATGACGTTCTTGCCTTTAAGACGCATGTATCTCGCTACTACATCGCTAATTGTATATACCCTGAGGTGCCCCATGTGTAATGCTCCACTGGGATAGGGGAACATCGAGCAGCAATAGAACTTTTCACCGTCAGCATTCATGGACTTTGCTGGATTCAATGAACCGGAAGATTCCTTCCAGATACGTGCCCATTTTTTATCTAGATCACGTAACTCTACCTCCTGCTGCTTCAATGTCTGAGATGTTCTAATTAGTCTCTTGGAGATCCATATTCGGCCTACAGGCGGTATGCCAGCCGGCTTGCCTCGAAGCATCAACCTCTTTATGCAGACACATTTCGAACTGGGTATGACGCTGTGGTGTCTGGGTGTGTTACATGGAGGTACCATCCTGGAGGGTATAGCATTTCCACTTATTTCCGCTTATCAACCAATGAAGAAATGGACTGGTATATCAAGTTGCATAAGCCATGAAATCCACTTTCCTCAAGCTCGCTTAAGACCGCTACTTTCACCTCGTCGTAGTTCATGCCTATCCATTTCACATCCGAACTGGCGTTCAATTGCAACACACTTGCCCTCTTGATGGGACCGTCATGTCTTGTCTCAATATCATTTGCCTTATCCTCTATCCTGCGAACAATTTGGCAAGATATATAGGCAAATGAGGGGTTGTGAAACAAATTACCTGATGTAGATCGTTCAAGTATATTGGAATAGCCAAACGTTGGCAACATTCCCAACTTGTCTATCATGGAACGATGGAGGGACAATACCTGACTTCTCTCAACTTTTTCATTACTTTGTATTTCGAGCGCTTTGTCTCGCCAAAGATAATTGAGGGTGTCGAGAAGTGCAGTAGTATATAATAACTTTGCAGTTTCCGATGAAAATTGCCTGTTTTTTAGCTTCAAAAGGTAATCGCAGTATCCCGATATGACAAACGGATGCTTGCAAAGCAACATCTTAGCATGTAGTATGGGTGGAAACAAAACAGCACCATCGCTTAATGAGCCGAATAATTGCTCATCCATTGATTCAATGAACTTGAAGAGGTAAACAGACAGAACCTGGACAGTTAAGTCGACATTAGCAATATGCTCGGAAAGAAAAGTAAAGACAGCACCTAGCATTGTGTTCAACAGCAGGACGACCTCAGTCTGGTCAAAATTCTGGTCCTGTAAATCTTGTAACCACCACTTGATGAAAGATGTAAATTCAATCAACCATAGCAGGATCACTTGGGAGAAGTGGTGTTGAGAGTCCCATTGACACTGTGGAGGGAGAAGTAGCTTGCTCCCAAAGTTGTGAGAGTCCGCAACGGTTTCGAATTTCATGAGACTGATCCTGTGGATGATGTTTTGCAGTGTGTCCTGTAGAAAATCTGCATTTAAATCGGGTGCAGCTATACCAGCTGATATGGCGAATAACCTGTTGAGTCTATCATAGTATAGTGATGCTTCTTTCTGCTCGATGTTATCTTGAAGGCTGGTCTTCATAAAGTAAAGCATTTCTGATTGTAACTTTTCATCGCCTGCTAGCAAACGAAGAGTAACGTATATCAATTTAATCTTGGTTGACAAAACGCTGTAGTTGGAGTGATCTCGCAATCTGAGAACCAGCCATGAGTTTGGATAGCTTATACGATTAAAGTTGCGGATCAAGCCTTCAATATCGTAAATATCAGTAATGGAAACCTCATTTTCATTTAAGGTTGAAGATGGCTCAAAATCAATTTTCCTAAACCCTCGTTTGTTTCTGCAAAGTTGGTCAAAATTGGAAAATTGCTGAAGTAGATAGTTGGAAGTGCTGCGATGGAAGTTGTTATTGATAGCACTTGATATGTTGAAAAATTCGTCGTCAGGTATTCGAAAGAGGCTACCAGAGGTACTGATAGATATTGGTTTTCCATCTGTAAATCGCCTGTAGTTCAAAGCAGGATCTATTTTGGTGAACAAGCATAACAAAAGCTTGAGGTGCTCATCTAAAGGGAACTTTAGATGTAAATCCAACACCAATTTTATATGCCATTTTTTGAGAGGTAGCGATCCATTGTTAGAGCCATGAAACATACCTCCTGATTCCATCAACCCCACGAAAACTAGCTGAGATATGTATCGGCGAGAATATTCGTACGACAACAAATGGAGGAGAATAGGAAGTCTTCGGTAGAGAAAGTCAACTATCTTGGGACCGAACAAGTGGAGGGAGCAGAGTAGCCAGTCCAAGAGTTCTATTTGGATACTTCTTGGTAGTCGTGATTGCTTGGTTCTGGTGCCATTGACATAATACATTTTAGGTTCACCGATATTACTTAGGATACGATCGAGTAACAGGTCCAGGATGGTATTATTTGTTGAGAATATGCACAATGCCTTTATCATATACTTTTTCTGCAGCGCTGAAAAGTGGGAAGGAGTGGAATCTTCAAAGATGATATCAAACAAACGAGTCAAGTCATCATGGTCCACTCCAGAATTGTGAACTTCATGTTTGATATCTTCGATCAACAACTGTTTATCTGAGCTCCCCAACCGTTTTCGACTTCTCCAGAGCCTTTGTATCTTGTCAGATACACCTTCCAATGCGTCATCGTGCACCCTTTTTGCCATAACAGCACCTACAGACGCGCAGAAGCGAAAATGCGCACAATCAATTTTTGACAGTATGCACCCCAGAAATCGGGGTCGCGGCTGCAACTCCGAGCGAATATCGAGCATATATCGAGGTCTACAATTTGGTAAAGTTCGTACTATTGTGGATAATTAGCGAACCATAGTATTCAGCAGCATCATAAAATGCTGAGTTTGTTCTCCTTGAAAGGTAAAGTGGCATTGATCACAGGAGCCACGAATGGGATCGGTTTGGGGATGGTTAAGGGGTTGGCCGATGCTGGTATTGACCAGCTCATTTTGACTTATCGGCTGGAAGATGCCCTTGAAAAAACGAAGCAGCAACTCAAAAAGATCAATTCCTCGGTTGATGTAGTTGGTATCAAAGCGGACTTCTCCAGTCCAGACGAAGATGAAGTGGTGAAGAAGATTGTGGAAGAAGCCTATGAAATTGCTTTAGGGCATTCAATTGATATTCTCATCAACAATGCCGGAACCAACATCCGCCATCCTTTCGAAAGCTATCCTCAGGAAGATTTTGATCAAGTTTTGCGTGTAAATCTTCAGTATCCTGTCAAACTCACGAAACAGGTGGGATCAAGAATGCTTGAAAAGGGAGTGAAAGGAAACATTGTTTTCACAGCTTCGTTGGCTTCGTTCTTGGGTATCCCTAATGCAAGTGCTTATGCAATTGCAAAAGGAGGCATCAAGCAATTGACTCATGTCTTGTCAAATGAGTGGTCTCTGAAGGGTATAAGAGTCAACTCAATTGTGCCCGGTTATATTGAAACAAACCTCACCGACACATTGGACAAGACGTACAGAGACACCATCATTAAGAGAATTCCAATGGGAAGATGGGGCACCATGGATGACTTCCAGGGACCCATTGTGTTCTTATGCTCTGATGCAAGTGGCTATGTCACTGGAGAAATGCTTGCAGTTGATGGTGGATGGTTAGGTTTTTAGTACGATGTAGATATGCTAAAGCTAAATACCTCCTGCCTCACGGTACCATCTAATGCCACGGTCAAAACTGACTACGCATAGACCTTCATTAGTGTCTCCTCCTGAGCCACTTCTGATACCTTTTTTGATAAACTTGACACCACTCGCCACGCTGGTATCCAACTCTTCGTTTCCATCCGTGGACTCCAAATCGGAAATTGATATGCTAATAGTGGCTTCTCTCTCTCTGGTGTCCAAATTCCAGATCCGCACACACTTATCGAAGCCACTACTGGCCAAGAGATCTCCAGTTTCGTCAAAGCACAATCCCATGACCCACCCATCGTGGGCGAACCCACCAATGGTTGTTTTTGAGGAATGCGATGGAGTTGTTAAAGATCCAACATCTTCACCATACTTGACATCGTATAGCGTTATGGATCCTGACGACTGATTATCCCGTGCTACTGCTAGCATTGAGCCTCCTGGAGAAAATTTTACAACTCTGGCGATAGAGCTCGAGCCATGGGCGCCGGTGGTACTTTGCTGAAGATCAGTGGAACGGAATGTGTAGTATGGTTTTAAAGTTTCGAGATCATAGAGCAAAACATCGCCATTAGAATGCCCTATCGCAACCTTGGCCTCTGTAGAATTGGAGATGTCAATGGAATTTGGAAAGGCGCCATTGCTGCCCACAAGGTGACCATACTCATCAAGCAGCACCTCAACATTCGAACCATCTGGGGAAGTTATATCGAGCCTGTAAACTATTGCACCCTTCCCAATTTTGGTCGCGACAAAGTAGTCTTGTTTGGATTCAGGATCTTGGTAGAAGCAAGGACCCCAGCAATCTTTTCGTAAATCTACTGGGACTGGGATTTCTTTCAAGGTCTCAAAGTCATCGCCTACAATGAGTTTCAAAGTGATAGAGCCATCAAAAGCAGCAAATGCCACCAACAATACCTTTACGTGCGAGCTAGGAAGGACAGCTTCGTATGTGGAGACGTGGTGTAGCCCCATTTTATTGATTAAAATTCGTTTCACGTATTGGTGTGGATCATGGTTTTCTTCTTGCTTGTTATCCCAAAATGCAGCATACCCATCACTCGATACAGTTAGAGTATAGCGAGTGGTAATCACAAGATCTAGAATATCCAGGGAATGGGCTTCAGCAGCCGTGCCTGTGGAAATGTACTGTTTTCCCATCTATATGGTGGAACAAAATTGACAACGCTTTTTGCACCTGCGACCATTACGTAAGAGGGTTGCACCAAGGCATTCAATTGAAGAGTCTTGAAGTTGATTTAGACGATTGAGCTCCTCAAGCAATTTTAAAGAACGCCAGAGGTGTCAGAGGTGTACACAAGTAGGTCTTTTGTGAAATTAACTATTTTTTCAAAACATCGGTTTTTTGCATAATTTCAAATTGTTGCAAAATTTAAGAAGCTACACATTTTCAGTTCGTGAATGCTAATAGGTCGGTATCAAGAAACCATACTTATTTGTTGACCTTCCCATAATCATTAGCACTGTATTGAACTCTGAAATCTCCCTTTGTACCAACTTTGTGTTTGTACTTGAAGGATTATTGTCGAGCTCAAGCCACCAATGTTCAAATTATTCCACAGAAAAACATATTCCAGGACAAGGCTTCGTGCCCTATGGAATGAGTGGAGATACAAACACAATACCTCTCAAAACTCGACCAGGAGTGTTGTGCAATTGCAAGCTGGGGAAGACATTATCTCAAATGCAAAACTTCAATCTGTACCACCTTCGAGGACAGGACCAGACAGCACAACTAGCTCAAACCATACTTCAACGCCTGTTGCTTCACCATTAGCAAAGGCTTTCAATTTTGATACGTCTACGGAAGCCTTTTCCTCGATAACTGACGAGCACAAGAGCAATAGTGAGGACTCTCGATCACTGAAATGGAGAGTAAGAACTCACACATACACAGCATGGATTCGCCAGTGGAAGACTTTCACGAGACGTGCATCACAGACAAAAAAGTCGGCTCGGTTTGAAAGAATGAAGAGCCGATACAGAAAATTGTTCACTTATAAACTGGCTGCAAATTGCGAACCAACTTCTCAGTTGCCGGTGATGGCTACGGAACCATTGCATGTACCAGCAAAAAACGGCACTAGTCCTTTCGATGTGGCCCTACCTCCAATTTTTACCAGCTCTGTCTCTTCCGTTTCAAGTGACAACGTTCCAAAAGAAGTTCAAGGTGCTTACGAAGTGAGTGACAACTGGGTAAGCAATATTGTCTTTGGAGGTGAAGAAGAGGAAGCCAAGGCTGAAGAGCATGTTAGCACAGATTTTGCGAATGGGTATCTTGCCGACCCGTCTTGGTTTCTTCCCAAACCTGATACATTAGCGACAATTCTGGGAGAAAGCGCCAAGTTCGCATGCTTTTGTGAGATACCCTCACGGACTCAATCGGTTGCATCAGCTTCAAACCCATATCTGAGCAAGAACCTTGACGACACACCACCGGCTTTAGTGGGACAACATTTGAAAAATCCTTCACAGCCCTCAGCATCGGCGGGAAGTTCAATCTTGCAAGATATCACCTCAGCAGAAACCATACGGGAACCTCCTATAACTCAATGTTCCATGAGAATGAAGAGAAAGGAGCTTGTTGTACAATACGCTAGTCAAACTTCATTAATTTCGCCAACTCTGACTTCGAACAGAGCAACAAAATCTGAGGTTAAATCATCGCAGAACTCTGGGTCCAAACGCAAATATCTCAAGAGAGCACCGACCCGGATTGCAAGTTGGTTTTCGTCAGTGCACCAGAAGACAACATTGAAGCCGTCCTCGAAGCATTGAGTGGACTTGGAGCCATTTCAGCTTGTGACTGATGGTATAACAGATGGGGGAGTTGCTTTAAAATAGGTATAAATGAGTTCATAGTTAATAATCATGATAAAACTTGTTCACGAGTAGTCAGTCTCAAAAGTAGAAAATCATTCTCTACTCATAAATACGAGGCTATTCGATTCAATGGTGTTCCTAATTCTTCCTATTATCGTATACCTTTCTTCGCTCGTCCCTGCAGACAGCGTTATGTAAATCAAAATTCATGCGACAAGCTGAGTAGAAGGCACAACAATGCTGGCACGGCTTGTAGATGATCTAATTAAAAATCCCATCTTCAGACAAGGCTTCAGGCCTGAGCTTACATCCGGTAAAAACAGTGTCAACTTGAAGTTTCTGAAAGTTGTTTGCAGAAACGATACTGAGGTTTTCTCTGCTGACGGTAGTCAAATTCGCTGCAGTTATATCCAAGAAAGTGGTTCGTACAGCATATTGGACAACCCTTATAGCGACTCGGATGTCAGCCATTTGTCTTTGAGCAGTCTGGGAAAGTTTTTGGCTTCTTTGAGTGGGAATGGGAACAACGTGATTACTGTTTTCGCCCTTCCTGATTTTTTATCACCCCAAAATGGCAGAGTAAAAGTGAAGCCACTTAAACTTGAACCTTTACCAGCAGGAATCAATAAGATGGTTTGGCACACAGCCATGGCACAAGATGCTGGCTTGGTGGTGTTGACCAACGAGTCTAAGATTTATCTTTATGACTTACTAAAGCCTACGTCCAAACCTCAACTCGCAGTGGATTTGACTAAAAGTCCTAGCTTCTCGGCTGAAACCGCATCTTCATTATCCTTTGGATCAGAAGCGTCACTTTCTGGTGCCTTAACCTTATACATCACCACGAACAGTGGAAAAATATTCGCTCTATACCCTTTCATCAACAGCTTGGCAAACATTGCAACTACACAATCCAGCGTCAAAATCGTGATGAATGATACTAAAGATATACTACAGAAAGTTGAGAAGGACTTGAGTACGATGAATATCAACGAAGCAGTTAATAAGCGCCCATTATGGCACTCTATCTTTGGCCAATACACTTTCTATTCTTCTTTGTGGGCTCAAATTGCAGATGGAAACCCTCTCAAGATAGAGAAGCGTCGTAAAAGTGATTTGAGATTGGAAGAGTTAGCGATCCTAGGAGTAAAACTTCCACATGATTTCAGCCCGGAGGTTCAGGGTCCATTATTTTCATCGCAAGGGCTGAACAACATCTCCGATATTGCACATCTCTCGAACAATGAGAACCTCTCATACCTAATGACTGCAACTATTGAGAACAACAAAGTAAAGTTGGACCACTTTGTACAGTTTTTACCAATGATCATGAAGTTTGGTAACAGCGAACAAAGATTTCAGCTGCAACCAAAAAAGGACACAAATGCACCAAAGCCGACAACCAACAAATCCCGTGGTTACGCCAAACCAAAGCGAGGGTTTGGATTTGTTGATCTTGACGATGCTCCTTCGTCTCAACCTGAGCCAAGCGACGCCGAAATCACCAGGAACAATTTTGACTTGGAACAAACTTATTGGTCTAAAAATTTCGTCAATATCACCAGAGTTGGCAGCAGAACTATCCTGGAGCCTGCAATAGGTGCATCATTAACCACTTACAATTCTGGCCAGTGCTACATCTTGAGGCTCCCTCGCAAACTATTAATAAGTACCAACACCGAATGGCCCGATTTCATTTCAAGAAAGATCGAGCTCGATGGCAAGCCTCTGCCTATTCCAAGCGACAACTTAACAGAAATTTCGTCTCGTGAGGATATAATCTCCTGCTCATATGTCAATGATAAAATAGACTCAAACTGGGGAGCAGTTGTTTCACTTTCCAAATCTTCTTCTGAAAATTTGAAAGTTGTTGGAATCGAAAAACAATCAATGGTACTGAGAGAAAGCACACCAATGAATCAAGCGCCACAAGAGGAACCAAAGCGGTCGGTAAGCTATAAATTACCGATTTTACAACAGGAGCCTTTCTCGCAGTTAGAATCTGAGATTCAGGTTCTCAAGTCGCACATAGCCAACATCTCAGGGCTTAGTGTGCCCAAAAATGTGCTTAAGAATGCGGACGGAAGTACATTGAAGTCGCTCTCAGAAGCTTCCCTGAAAGTTATTGAGAAAACGATAAGAATTACTGCGCATGCCGTCAACTTGAAATTAAGGATAGAGACTGACATTGCAAATCTTAAAAACCAAATCAAACTTCTCACGGAGACAAAAGAACAGCAAGATGCGTTGAGCAAAGCTTTGGAAGCATCTTCGACCTTGGTCAAGCTTGAGGACCGACATGAGAGATTAACTGAAAGGATACAGGCATTGGAGAAGAAAATTGATGAAGCAATCAGACAATTATCCTACAAGGAATCGATGCCCTTGTCCAAGGAGGAAAAGCTGTGGATAAGAGAGGTAAACGGAATTAACGCACTTCTAAACAACGCAGGAGAAGATAGTCTTGCTCTGAAAATTGAGGATCTCAAGGTTCAGGTTACTGCACTTTCTCAAAATGAACACAGTGCAAATGAGCATCTTACAGATGCTGAAATTCAAAAAAGGCAAAATAGCATTATCTTGGCCAAATTGAGTTTGTGGCTACAAAACGATCTGGAGAAACTTGATGAAGTAAAGCAAAGCGTTACCGATTGCATTCGACGTTTACGTATCTAGTACATACGGTCATCCTTAATAGAGCATTTGGCATTAAACTCGTTACTCATTCATTCTATTATAACTTTTGAGGTGTGAGTCTTAGGGCTCATTTCTCCCGATTATTTTATGATTAGACGAAAACTTCTCCCCAGCGTACTCACGAGCATGTATCTTTAGCCCATCATAGTACCGTCCGTCAAAGGCCGATCTACATTGACTTGCTGCCTCTATCAGATCAAATCGAACCACTACCACTCTTTCGACGTCAAAAAACGACACTTTTGTCACAGAAGACCCAATGCCGTATTTATCACACTCGCTCTTGATATCCTCTATAATATCAGACTCCAAGTATTTATCATTTTTGAGTTCTTCCACTCGAAACATGTTCTCTATTACCAAAGATTTTTTCCATATCCGTTGGCGGATCTGCTCTGCTCTTCCCGCAACCGCAGAAGGATCCTCGTCGTCCCAACTAGAGACCTTTTGCTTTAACATTTCTTTCTTCTTGTGCAATAATTGCTTTTCTTCAGCTGTAAGTACTCTGCTAGGAGCCTTCTCCAGATCTCTTTCCTCACTAAATGCAGCAGGCTCTACCTTGATAGGTTCCAGTTCCTTCGAGGACCTGATTTTCGAGTTATCTAACATGTCTATAGCGAGGTAGACACTTTCTTTGTTGTGATATATCACCAATGCTTCATTCTTAAACTGACCTTGATCATAATAGAGCTTTATTCGCGGACGATTTGTCTTGAAGTCTTCCGCTATAACACCGTACTTGCTGAAGATCTCAAAGAGCTCGTCCGACGTAACATCAGATGGAAGCTTGCTAACAAAGACACCTGACGTTGAGGGTGCACTTGATTTTTCAGCATTTCGGAGCCGTTGTATTTCGTCCTTCATTGCTTGTATTTTCTCCTTTTTCACCTTTTTAATCTCCTGCTTATTAACAGACTCATCATTCTCCTTCTGCGATTGCAAATCCGGTCGTGGAACCCATTGCTGTACTATAAAGTTGTAAACATATTCCACGGTATGTTCTTCTTCCTTCCGTTCAAAAACCCATTGCTGACTTTCCTTTTCATATAATACACGTTCATCCACATTTTTGATTACAGCTGGATCCTTTTCAACGAGTGACGGATGAGGTGGTGCTCCCGGAAATTCGCCGTCCTTCATTGACAATAATAGCTGTCTCTTACCTCTCGATGATCATCGCACCTCGCAAGACTTGTAATGCCTGCATACATCCTATCAAGCACACACCCAGACACCAGGACCGATAGTCGGGAAGTGTGAGCAATCCGAATCGGTAGTAATTATGCTTTCCAGACGGTTAATATCAACTCGGAGTATACGGCTCTACAGTGCCAAATTTGGTACTCAAATGAACCCTGCTCCTCCTCGGCTTCCAAAGGAACAACAAGAGGAATTTGAAGCCTTGCAAAAAATAGCAAACTCACAAGCTGCCATTGATGAATATAATCAGCTGATCCAGAACACAGATGAGAGTCTGACGGTGTCTACGACACCCAACTTGAAGACTGACGTTGGCGGATTTCACCCTCAATATTTCAAGACGATTCCCGAGTTTGAAGGAGACGTAAATCCGAAGACCGGAGAGCGTGGAGGTCCCAAGCAGGACCCATTGAGACATGGAACTGATTGGTCTTTTAATGGACGTGTTACGGACTTTTAAACATTGTATGTAGTTGCATGAATGAGCATGGTATGAAGGTACGAGGGTAGCATTGGAAGCATGAAAGAGGTGTGTCATCTCTTGATGAGTATGGTTTTGCAGTCATACCTCGACTGTGAATTTTCTCTTCCTTTAACTTCTTTTCAATAAGTAAGGATGTCTACTCGTGTTTAGCTGGCGATTACACTTCTCTGTACCCAACTTTCAGAATTGTAATGGATGCCATTCGGCACCAAAACTGTATTTCGCGATGCTCATCGCTCGCTCTTCGTCCTCAACTCGGTTGACATGGATTTCGATCCACTCTCGTTATACACGGCTCAAACTCCCGGGGAAGAGGAATTCGATCAAGAACAATACACCGAGCAATCACCAAAGGACATACCGCAGGAGACCTTAAATAGTGATGTTAACCTAGCAGATTATGAAGAAGACGACGATCCAATGCACCCCGTTCACCCTCTAGATCTTCCCGCTATACGACTTCAGCCACCCAGAGCGGTCCTACACACTTTATTGAGACTCTTAGCTCTAGAAGAGATATACAATTTCTCCAATAGCTCGAATACAGACCAAAAATATACCAGTGTTCAGGAAACCTTTCAACTGAAGAATATCAAATTGATCGATGCAGAAAGAGCTTTACCTTGGTTCAGCCAACATTGCCCAAGATTCAACACGCTAGAAAAACTTCTGTATCTACCATACCTCGCAGGACCATTGAAAGCTACCGGTCAATATAATGCATGGCTAAGTAAAATCATTTCCAGCGGTCTTTCTTGGATTCCAAATTCTGACGACATTATGAAAGAGGCGACCCTTCGACTATCCGAGAACTGTGGACGAACAGCTCAGCCGGAGATTGTTCGCAAAATAGGTATTCCGAACCTCGATAAGATTTACAAAAATGGAGCATATTTGCAGCTTCGTGAGCCTTCTTTGACTGGCGATAATTTGGGCCTTAAAACATGGGGTCTGTCACTAGTTCTTTCCAATAGACTAGTTAACAATCCTAGGGAAAAGTATCTAAGGGAGCCAGTTTTGGAATTGGGTTCTGGTACCGGGCTAGTAGGAATGGCCAGTGCAATCTTGGGCTGCGAAACGTTTCTAACCGATCTTGCTGAAATTGTACCTAATCTTGTGAGCAACATAGAACTCAATCAGGTTGAGTGTACTGTCCATGAATTAGACTGGAGAGATCCAAGTTCATTCAAAAGAACCTTCCCCAATCAGAAATTCAAAACAATTATTCTAAGTGATCCTATCTATTCCTCGTTACACCCTCAATGGGTGTTCAATATGGTCAATGAGTTTTTGAAAGATGACGAAGATTCTCGAGTTCTCTTACAGATTCCACTTCGACCAAAATATGAAGAAGAACGAGAGAGGTTATGGTCTTTGATGAGCGACTTTGTTGAAAAGGAAAGCTGCATCGAAGAAGGTTTTGATGATTTCGGAGCTATGAGGTACAGCTTCAAGTTATACACAAAGATATGAGGTATAATTTTAGTCTATAATCTACTCTGATATGTATGGCTTGAGTTTACGGAGCCTCTCTACTGCATCGTCCAACATGGAGTCATCCTTGCACACAGCAAATCTAATGCACTTATCGAGTCCACTACCTTTCCTTGTATGTGGCTGCAAAAATTCTGTTGGAGGGATTCCAACAACACCGAATTCCTTGATGAGCCAGTAAGCCAATTTGAAGTCGTCTGTACCTCTTGCCAAGATATCTTCTGGATACTCGTAGTCTGCAGGCACATTGACCTTCAGCAAATTAACAAGAAGGAAGTAGCCGCCCTGGGCAATACTGTAAGGCAATCCTAATTCATCAAATACTGCAGTGAATATCTTGTACTTTTTGATGTACGCATCTCTAGTCTTCGAGAAGTAGTCTACCTCGTGAGCCTTCTTGAAGGCCTGAGAAACTGCTTGCTGCAAGGGAGCTGGAGTCGAGAAACATATTCTGGTATGGGCCGCCATTACATACTTGATGAGCGAGGCAGGTCCTTGCACCCAACCAACTCTCCATCCAGTGGCTGCAAAGGATTTACCAGCTGACCCGACGGTTAAAGTTCGAGAGGCTAATTCAGGAAGGGACTTCAAGGTTGCAGGGCGCACAAATTCGGGTGTGAAGTATAAGTTTTCGTAAACTTCATCACTCACGAGAATCAAGTTATGTTTAATTGCCAATTCGCCAATTCTCTTTAATTCGCTTTCATTGAAGTTTTTTCCAATGGGATTGTGAGGGGTATTGATCAAGATAAGCTTCGTCTTTTCATTGATCGATGCTTCCAACCCTTCCCAGTCAATTAACCAATCATCGCCAGTGACCGTCTCAGTTGCGAATTTTGGTGGAACATTGATGTTGACATACTTCACGGTGGCACCACACATCTGTACGTTTGGAATATATTGGTCGAAAAACGGCTGAAAGACAATAACTTCGTCGCCAGGTGTCAAGAAACCAAAAAAGATGGAAAAAATACCTTCATTGGCACCCGTTGTAACAACCAATTGGTCGGTTTCCACTGGTCTCCCAAATGCGGTAGTATAGGACTTCGCCAACTCAGAGAGTAAGTTTGGATTACCCTTAGCTGGAGCATATTGATTGTATTGAGCAGAGTTGAGAGATTCCTCCACAGCGTCAATTGCAAACTCAGGAGGCTTGTATGAAAAAAAGCCTTGTCCCAAGTTCACAATTGGCTTGCCACTTTCCGCTTGTGCAGCAGCGGCAGTTTCGTTGATCAAACTCCATATGTCCTTTTGACCGGGTTTCAAATTGAAGTACGGATTGTGCAAGGTTGCGGGATCTATGGATTGCGACATTCTTGGTGAGTTTGAGCTTCTTAGGTATCGTTTAACAATGGGAAGAAAGCTCTTGTTCATATAGCTCACCAATAATTGTGTGGCTCTTATCGTCGAGGTGCATGGATTTATTGACTAATTTCACGCGATCGGTTTGTTCGATTGTGGTCAATGAGTAATCATGGTTATCCACTGCGGCACCACTCCCTACCTCTTTCGACCTGTAAATCACACAACTTCAATTCCAAGCCCATATTAATGATTCCCGCAATGACAATGCCAAAGCTGTCACTGACTCCGACACAGCCCATGCTAAATTCACGTCTTTGTATTGGAACCTGTTCGCTAACTGACATGAACGTGTTAACGTACAGGCAGCCACCTAGTAGACCCTCATAGAAAATAAGAACTAGAAGTGGCCATATGCTTGTGAATGGAAGATCGTACAACGATTGCACCACCGTAAGTAGCAAGTTGGCAAACTGAAGAATCGAAAGTAAGTAAAGATGCTTGAAGCGGAAACCCCAAATTGTCGATGAGCGAGATATGAACACACCCAATTGATAAAGAAACCCGTAAACAACGTAGATGTCACGGTAGGAAGAAAAGAGCCATTTGGGCAAGTCTTCAATGGGGAACAAAAGTGTAGGTGACACACCTTGGTTAATGACGTACTCGGATATATAAACCGAACACAATGGGATCATGAAAGGAATGACAAGAGGCTTGATATCATCGACTGTTTTCCAGATATGTGCAATAAAATTAGTTTCTCGTGGTTCGACCAAGAACGTAGATGGGATCACATTTTCTTGCTGCGAATCATTTGGGGTAGTTTCGAGCCTCTCGTAGTCGACGACATCCTTCGCCATGATCAGACTGGGAAGAAGAACGAAGTACGCAAACAAAAAACCGAGGGGCACCACCGCAAAGAGAATGAGCACTAAGCGGACAGAGATCAGCAAAGTGTTGGTCATTACCATGAACACAAAGCTTCCCAACAAGCCAGCTGCGCCGGTTCCAGTGGAAAAGCCACCAATTGAGTATTTCTCGTTATAGAAATGTGTCAACAGTAAAAACGTTATTTCTCCGAGACCAGCTGATGCCAGCGCAAGACATATGCCAAACACAGTGAATCCCACAGATCCCGCATTGGCGCCCGAGCCAGTGCTCACAATAAGCATTCCAACCACAGATAGCGCCACCAAGCACCATAATCGAGCCTTATATGCCACCAAATGGATAACAAATGGGGCCACCACCTTGATCAAAAACGCGGGGACAATGTCAGCCAAGAGCACCACGGCTTTAGGAGTAGAGGAGCCAACTAGGTCTATGGCAGCAGAAAGAATCACCACATAGAGAATGTTGTTTATAAGTCCAAAAAGCAAGAACGAAAGAAAAATTCGCCGCTCATCACTGATGATCACTTGCATTTACTCGTCCCAAAGTTACGCCGCGCACCGTTATCTCGAGGGCAGCCAAAACCGCAACCAGTGCCAAAAAAGCGAGCATTTCTCTGCAGGACTACTCCGAAGTCCATGATGGCATGAAGTGGGGCCAATTAGCAAAGAATCAGTATTGTGTTTCGAAGGACTCAAGAAACTTGACATAGGTATATGGGGTCAATGAAATAGGTCGTTGTCGTAGATTTTCGGGCCTAGATTCGCTCAAAATTCACAACCACCTGACGTCCTGACTCATCGCCCACGTGACTGAAATTTTTCAACTTCGATATTTAAACGGTGCAACCAGTCAAACCGATTCCATTACAAAATAAAAATGTCCAAAACTCCAGTTCCCGATGAATACGATGACACACGTATCTTGGCATACGAACCATTGATTCCACCTGCATTGTTGCAACACGAGATCAGAGCTACGAAAAAGTCGTTGGAGTCGGTCATCAAAGGAAGAATCGAATCCGCAGCCATCTTGAAAGGACAGGATGACAGAGCCTTAGTTATTGTCGGACCATGTTCCATCCATGACCCCACGTCTGCTATAGAGTACGCCGGAAGATTAAAGAAATTAGCTGATGAGTTGGAAGATGATCTTTTGATCATCATGAGAGCTTACTTGGAGAAGCCAAGAACCACCGTGGGATGGAAAGGATTGATCAACGATCCTAATGTCGACAACACTTTCCAAATCAATAAGGGATTGCGTATTTCTCGTCAACTCTACTTGGACTTGACCGAGAGCGGTTTGCCTATTGGTTCTGAAATGTTGGACACCACTTCTCCTCAATACTTTTCTGACATGTTGAGTTTCGGCGCTATTGGTGCCAGAACCACCGAGTCTCAGTTGCATCGTGAATTGGCTTCTGGTTTGTCGTTCCCAATCGGGTTCAAGAACGGAACCGATGGTAACATCGGAGTAGCATTGGACGCTGCGCAAGCCGCTTCCAAGGGCCACCACTTCATGGGTGTCACAAAGAATGGTAATGCTGCCATTACTACCACTAAAGGTAACGACAACTGTTTCATCATCTTGAGAGGTGGAAAGAAGGTTACCAATTACGACGCTGAATCAGTGGCTGCCGCTAAAGAGGCTATCGCCAAGAGCACTGATCCTTCGCTCAAACTTATGGTTGACTGTTCTCACGACAACTCCCAGAAGGACTACAGAAACCAGCCAAAGGTTTTGCAGTCTGTGGTTGATCAGATTTCCAAGGGTGAAGACAAACTCATTGGTGTCATGATTGAGTCCAACATCAATGAAGGTAAGCAAGGTATGCCACCAGCTGGTCAAGACAAGAGTGCCTTGAAGTACGGAGTCTCAATTACTGACGGCTGTGTTTCATGGGAACAAACGGTGGACATGTTGAAATCGTTGAGTAAAGCAGTTCAAGCAAGAAGAGCTTTGAAAAAGTCCACCTAGATCTATTCTAAATATGTATATAGGCTATCAGTAGCTTGTTTAATGTATTATTCTGCCACTTTCCATGGAAATGTAACCTTATTTCTGATCTTTTCGCTGGACTCGTATGTCTTTCGCTCATCACCTATAGCCTCAAGGAGAGGAGCAAGGCTCGGATTACTTTCGTGATACCCATGTCTACGGCCAAATGGGTTTCTTGAAACTCTCTTTTGCAATAGCGGACTTTGCACCCCGTACCAGTCGTTTTCAAAGTGCTTCACTGCATGGTTGTACTCGGCTTGATGAAGGTCTTGAAAGTACTTGTCCTTATCTATAATGTCTCTCGGATCGGGATCGTTACCAATATACTCACAATTGACAAATTTCAATGCCTGTTTAAGGTGGAGGTCGAGAAACCGTTTGCGCTTAAACTCGAAACCCACCACTCGAAGATGATCTGGATATGCTCCAAATAACTCATAGAACTTGCAAAGCAGAAACAAAACGTTTTCAAACGAATCTCGAGCATACTCTTCTAAATGAACCCTCTCTACAATATTCTTGTCATTGCACAATTGGGTTGCAAGACTGTAATACGATTGAGCTTCCGATATAGGTCCACACTCTTTCTTTGTCTGTCCACCAGAGACAATGGCAATTGCTTGAGGATCATTCTTTAGTCTTTTCAATGCCTCAAGAATATGGTCTTTAAAGCAAAGATGATCATACCCTTCTATTTGAAATGGAGCAAGAGCCCACTCGGCCCTACTATCTCCAGCATTGGGGTTGATACCGTCTCCACGATTCCCAAACCATACTCCATGGCAAGGGATCAAGATCAACGTTTTTGGCGACATCTCAATTTCTTGAACCAAACCATAAAGTTTCAGAATATACAGGCATCGCATATTGTACATTAAACTAAGCTAAGGTCTTTTGGTGGAGGTAATGATAGCATCCCAACAAGGCACACCAGTGGCAATATGCTGCAATAACAACACCTACGTGCAAGATTTGATGAGAGTTACCAATTATATCCAATTTTCCAGCTGTGGGTGACTTCTTGTAGGTTTCTTCATCCACTTCGACATGGGTAAACCGCTCAGGAACTCTCATCGCATACATAGCAGCACCGAATATGTAGAAGAAACCTTCACCCACCAAGTACCAAGCGTTGGAACGTTCAATCGCAGTCTCTAACCCATACATGTAAGTTGCAGCTGCGACTGGCAAAACACCGGAGAGGCCGAACAAAATGAACATCCCAGACCTCAATGGCCTGTAAGTTGGGGTTGCAAACTGCGAGTCCAAGGTAAGAAAGGAACAAATTCCTCCTAGGACCAAAAAGAGGGAAATAAAGCCATACTTGTATACTGGCTCATCATAGAAGGCGAACAAGATGATGGAGATTAACGAGCACGTTATCATGATTATGATACCAAAATAGTCCAATTGATTTCCAAATTTACTCACGCGTGGTGAATGGCTTTTGGACCCATGAAAGATGGACGACAAGCCCATACAACATGTGGCAGCAATTCCAAATTGAAGAAAATTGAGCTTTTCCCATCCAAGATGAGTGGGGTAAATTACCAAGTAGTCATTGACATAAATGAAAATAGCAGCAAGCACAATCAAGGAGGGGATCAAATGTGACCAAATATTCACGGTTTCATTGTGAATGTAAAACAACGAGTCAAAACACTTTCTGAACGAATTGGTCTGAGGCACATATCCAGAAAGAATGTAATGATTATCTTTACGCCATTCTTCCAAGTTATAGTAATACAAAAGCTTGCGTGTCCCAGGGACCTGTTCAACTACTTCCGGAGCCGGTTTGGTTGTTGTTTTCGTTCTTTGCTTCAAACTGCTCATCTCGTATGTTGGGTTGAGTTGCGGACTAGTCGCTTGAGAATCCGGAAATTTGCAGCATGTTCACGTGCTGATAACCCAACACGGAAATGTTTCTCAATACGAGACCGGTTAAGGACATTGCTTCTTGCGAAAGGACATTGGTTCCTGCGCTGGAGAGGTCTATTAGATGCATTATTATATATATCTAGTATTGCTAATGGCTTTTAATCTCGTGTAGGCCACGATAGAATGTTCATGTAAATGACGCCGGAATGCTCTCCCCGATTTCGATGTACTCGTGAATCTTTCTTTTGATATCTAAACCCGATGAACCGTGCTTCGATTTGTTGATTCTCTTGTCAAAAATAGTTCCAGTGTAGAATACACGCCAGGGAGATTTGAGCGAGCTTATCAGTCCGCGGCTCCGTTCAAAATACCACTTATTGACTGGGTTTTTCTTTTGAGATCGCCATATCAATTCCCCGCTATGTGACTGAAGGATAACCTTGAAAATCACATCGGCTAACCCGGGAAGTCCTTGGTTTCGCTTGGCAATTGCAAACTTATCAAGGTACGCAACTTTCTTATCTGAGCCTGCAACATTTTCCCACGTAATGATTGCCGCTCCATCATAGTCTCCAGCTATGACAACCGTAGCCAACGAGTTGTTGATGCGCCGAAAGTAGGCTTCTTCATCTAGCTTCTTTCCAAAAGAATCATTAAGCAAGTGAACCATGCGATCCTTGTCAAGACAGTCCTCACGTACAAGATTGTCGAAAGTGAAAGTACCGCTAAAATTGGAGGTATCTAGTACCTTCACGTCAACTCCTTTTTTCAACACCGAAGTAGACAATTGAGGTGTTGCATCTCGCGACAGCGGCAAGGACGAGGAGATGATGGGCCTATCAGTTAGTACGTTATAAATTATCGGATTCAACTGATCATCATTGATCGACATGATGTGTGGTGTGGTGATGATACCAGTTGCATCATCAGATCCTGATTTGTCACGGGTCAACGTCAACAATTTGTTCATATAATTCAAATTCTGAAGATGTAGATCTCGCTGCTCAGGTTCAATGTAGCCTATGAATAATTCTGATACGATATCAGAATACTCCTGGGATAGGTTGATGAATACATGACTGGTCTGGTTACGTTCAATGGAAGGAATGCCTCCAATGGGATCAATAAAGACAATCTTTTCAATGGAGAGCGTACCTGGTGAGAGATCCGAAAGCGCACCCAGTAGAAAGTACGTAATCTCTTGAGCTGAAGCGAAGGTTTGTTTCGTTGTCTTAGTGTCGTACGCAATGGGCATCACAATGGGGATGATTCCTTGATAGAGAGGAACAAGTATTTGTTCTAGGCTGCCAACTTCAAAAGTTTTCAGATTGTCCTTGGTGGTAAAAATTGACCATAATGGCATGGTTTGAACATTACCATCTTCATGTTTCTCTAGGGCGTTCATAACACGATTAAGCAGATTCATCATGTACATTTCATTGTACTTGAATGATTCGTTACGAACATGATCGAAGTCAAGCACTATCACTGGAGAAATGCCCAAGTTCAAAAGTCGCATAAACGTCTCGCGGATGCCCTTCCAGCTCCTAGGCAGAATTGATAGCTGTTTGAAATTGAATATAGCTAGACGAAGCGGGATTTTCTCTAACTTCTGATTAGACTCGTCATATAATGAGCGATGCAAAGATCTTCCACTGAGGAAGCGATCTACGAGAAGTTCCCGCTGTGAGTCGGAAATAGTCTTTCCTGTGCTCGGTTCACTGTTGTTGAAATCGAATTGGTTCTGGTACTTCTGAAGGTAATTTTTCGCTTCTCGTTTTGTCGTAGTGGATTTCAATATCGATAGTATGAGATTTCGTTTAGTCGATGTGGTCAATTCATGGTTTTTGATATTGGAGATAAGTTGACGGTTCAAATTACGTAGTTTGCTCATCAACAAAGGTGACTCAACATCGAATCAAGAACGAAATGTATGCGAGGATGGAAATGGTGCTCGGGTGCAAAGTAGACTATTGGTCCAACCGTGCTGTTTGGATCTCAGCTTTCAACGTCAGAGTACTGTCCATCGTCATCGTTGTTCATTTCGCCTTCTGTAGCCTTGGTGTCGTGTAGTTGACGTAGTTTGTTCATAACTTTAAGGACGAAAGGTCGCATTTCGTTGATTTCAATGAGCGATAAGCCATCGAGACGAATATTGGACTCATTTAGTTCATTCAAACCTTTCTGAGCCTTGGCTAGCCGTATTTCTCTTAGATCCTGAATGACAGATCGTAATTCATGGGTTGGATCTTGTAAATCGTCTGCAGCTCGGGCAAGAAAGATCTTCAGTGTGGCTATCCAATTCCATGGTAAGTCACTAAATTGTTGCGGGCGTCTGACCTCTTCTTCATACCTTGCCTTCAAAAATGCTAGATTAAGCCAGTCTGGAGGAACTATGTTGCATTTATCTTGAAATTTCAAGATCAAGGCGACCCATAGTGGAACCTGTTCTCGTCTCATACCTCGTAAAGCTGGTATTTTGCACTGGGGTTAGTAAAATGAACGAGTATTCAGCCAAAGGAAGCAGCAGCTACGTTTTCCCCAATCTCAATGCATCTTCATATGCTTCCAGTCGCTCTACTTACTCCGATCAACTCGATTTTTTTCATCAGATACCGAGGCAAAATTGTGACAAGCTCACTTTCTGCTTGGAAGTTTACCTCCGCAGGAGTTATCGTCTTACGAAGATGAGCAGGTAGAACCATGTGTAAAGGGATAATGTGGTGTATTAATAGCTCTGTTGAAGTTTAAAAAAGTCCGCGCAGTGAGTCGCGTTTTAAATAAGTACAGTGCGAGTACATTGCGAAGAGAGTACAGTGAGAAGAGAAAACAGGCGAGCAGATTACAGTGAGAGGAAACCAAAAAGTAGAGAGAATACTTAGCAATAATATAGATTAGCATATAAGCAATACATAGAAGAAATAAATAGCGTCATAGCAAACTTCCGGCGAAGCATCTATAATGCCGGTTCAGTTCACTCTTCAATACCCTCGTAACAACTTGCAAGTTGATGCACATCGCCTCTAAACTTGACAGCAACAGGACGGGGGGTATTGGAAGGTTTCTTATTCACCTCAACCTTCCTCAACCCAGTCTTCCAACTCTTCGCACACTCGTCCTGGGAACTCACCTTTGGCTTCATGTAGGGATTCTTGCGAAGGCAGTTATCCCATGAAGGCCTCTGTTCCTCTTTGAAGTCCTTGGTGCTTCCTAAAGATGGTCGATCTAAGTTGGAACTGGTGTTTTTCCTACTAGTCGACCTCAACTGGAAGCTTGTCCCGGCTTCATTGTTGGAGCTTGCCAGCGAGCTCTTGAAGCTACCCAGATAAACCAGATTGTTGGTCTTTTTGAGCAGCGCCCTCAAGTTTTTGAGCTCATTGGGAACTTCAGGTTTTTTGGGACTGTAGTCCTTCCTTTCAGTCCTACTCACAAGAAGTCTCCTCTTTTGCTTCAATTCCTTGGGGTCAATGACATACTTCGCAGGACCAGCCGCGATTTCCTGTTTGGCCACAAGCCCACTTTTGGCTCTCTTCAATTGCTCAGGATCAAACAACAATACTGGGCGAGCACCAGGTCCAAGATTAGGTCCCCTGGCACAAGCACCAAGAATGCTTGAAGGCAATGGTGGCGGAGGAGGTGGCGGCGGCGGTGGTGGAGCAGCAGCACCAATTGGGGGAGCAGGAGGAGCAACAGGGGCAGCAGGATGAGTCGAAAAACAAATCCCCATTTCCTTTCCCACTCTTTCAATAATAGCCTTGAGCTCTGCATGAGGAATTCCTTTGAATTCACGTCTGATCTCATGAGCAAGTTGCTCTTCATAGTTGAACTTCCGCTTCTCAACTTCGGTCCAGTGAGCTGGAGCTGAAGGGATTGCAGTAGGCTGGGGTATCTCCAGGGACTGGAGACGTACTGCATCCTCAGGCTCCTCTGAATCATGCTTAGCACCATCAAAGATGCTACTTGCTGAAGAAGAAGCCAGTGACTCCAAGAACACAGGCAGAGGAGAAGGCGAGGCAGTTTCAGTAGATGGAGCCTGATCAACAGCTTCAGCCACTTCCTTGCCAACTTCCTTAACAACCTCTGTTTGTGTCGAAGATTGCTGCACAACAACCTCTTCCTCAACAACGTCAACAACATCCTCAACTTGAGTCAGAGTTTGCTGCACCAAATCACCTTCGGTCTCAGCAATGTCTTTCTCAACAACATCCTCAACTTGAGTCAGGGTTTGCTGCACCAAATCGTCTTCGGTCTCAGCAATCTCTTCCTCAACAGCGTCCACAATAACATCAGTGTGAGTCAGGGTTTGTTGCACCAAATCGTTTTCGGTCTCAACAGTCTCTTCCTCAGCAGTGTCGTCCATTTGAGTCAGAATTTGCTGCACCAAATCACCTTCGGTCTCAACAATCTCTTCTTCAACAGCTTCCTCCTCTTCAGTCAGAATTTGTTGCACCAAATCAGCTTCGGTCTCAACAATCTCTTCCTCAACAACAAGCTCAACATGAGTCAGAATTTGCTGCACCAAATTGTCTTCGGTCTCAGCAATCTCTTCCTCAATAACATCATCAACTTGGCTTGAGGTAGGCTGCACCAAATTACCTTCGGTCTCAGCCACCTGTCCACCAACATCCTTCTTCGAGCCAACGGGTTTCCCTATCAAGGAACATCCTGCGTCTTTGCAGTCAGAAGGCAACCCAAGCATGCAATAAATACAAGCTTGGTTACGGCGGCTCTTCTTTGAAAGGCGTTGAATTGAAAGGCCGACTTGAGGCTCAAGTAACCATCGCGAGTGTCTTGGAGTGCACTCTACTCTTTTCACTTTTACCAATTTTGGCGTGGTGGGTTCCAAACTTTCGGGGGTCTCAGCCAGAGAGCGACGGACTGAAGACCGTAGGGAACGGTAGGCGCCAGACAAAAAGTCTTTCATAGAAGACTTTTTTCTCGGCATGTCACTTGTGTTTGTAAAGAAAAACTGTTAGTTTGTGTTCGTGAGGAAGTTTTGCACCCAACACAAATGGATTGCGGAGTGAACGGGGTACAAATGGAAGCTACAGAAGACACACTCAAGGGTATCTATGGCACACGAGTCACTCGTTTTTTTTGATCACCATACTTCCCCTGGAGGGACATTAAGAAGCAACAAGTAAGTCGCAAATCAAGACTGGCACTGAGAATCTTTATGAGCATGAAATCAATTGTTCTCGGTTCTTAAGCGTCTTGTTAACGATTAGACTGCGTTTGGCCAACATTGAGAAGCCTAAACTGGAGAAACATTTTGTCTTCAAATCGCTTGGTCAAGACATGTCTACAGCCAATGGCTGTGCCATGCTTTACCGATTTCCCAAACTTCTGTCACCAACAATGTGGCAATACACCAAGCAAAGGAGAGTCTTGACGACCCAGCCTTTCTTTTGCATAGCAAAGCTCCCGAACGGGTTTGTTGTGTAGATTTTTAGAGAATAAATTCATGTGGAAATCATCCGTCTCTGAATTTGCTCTGAATTCAACCTAGTCTTGAAAGTACGAGCAATACTTCTCCTCTTCATCCTTTTTATCTTCGCTTCATTGTCGCTGTGGCTTTGCACCCCCGCGTGGTACGTCCCATCTCCTCTTCATCGTCGCTATCTGGAGATTACGGATCCGGAGCATCTGTTTCTGCTGTCACAGTAGGATCTGTCTTTTGCTTTTCGCAAAGAGCTTAGTTGAATGAATCGTTGTTTATGCCTGTCTGTTGACGAAATCATCAAGAATTGAAAATAAGCCTGATCCACCATCAGAAACTCGATGGTTTCTGTCTTTGTAAATCGTGACCAGCACGTTGCATGTGAGACGAGTAATATCGCTGTGAGAGATGCGCTTGACCGAACAATTCTAAAAATTGAAATTAGTTTGCGGAACCCAAAAATTATCGTTCCTGCTTGGTCTTGGATTCCACCCAAAAGCACTAGTACCCCATCTTTGGAACCTCTAGGCCCGGACAATCACCACGTCATTGAATGAGGTTCGTTGAATGAGGTTCGTTGGTGGATATGGCTAACGCGTATTGAGGTCAATTCGTTTTCTGAGCCAGTGGAAAAGGGCAACTTGTTCAAAAGACGGATGCGGCAAAGCTGAAATTGACGAGTGTCAATAGCACAAAACATAGCAAAATAGCTGTAATATAACTGCATTTTTGTGACTAGTAAAAAAGGCTGGACTTTTAAGAGCCGAAATCAGTCCCAAATGGTATTGAAATTAAAGCTTGATCGGGTGCATCAGATAGTTGGAAGCAACAAGAGGACAGTGATAGCCAAGAATGCGAGTCCCCTTGGCCCGGGTATAAGAGCACTGTTATTTGAATGGAGATCATTGCAATCAATGATTCGCCCCCAAATCTGTTGTTTTGAGAAAATAGGTCCACATCCTGCATCTTAGACAGTATAGATAATGGTTGACTAGAGGATGTGCTAGAGTAGAGGTAGTACTAGAGTAGAGGTAGCATTGAATAGAAGTAGTACGACAGATCGGTACAGTAGAGAATTATATACATTTCATCTATTGTAGGAATTAATTCCTTTATAAATATAGCCCGACAGATCAAGTCACTTTGGGCTTTTGGGGAGTATCAACCTCCTTACCAATACCCTCAAAGCTCCGAGCGAGCTCACGCACTTTTCCTTCAAATTTGTTGACGGGTTTGCGAGAAGCGTTTGAATTCTTCTTAGTAACAGAGATCTTTCTCAAACACTTCTTCCAATTCAGAGTTCCCTCGTAGTCAACGACCTTAACCTTCAACTTTGGAAATCTGTCATCACCAACTTCAGAGTCCAATTGTTCCTCATCCACGTCACCAGTCACACCGGTCGAACGCAAGGTGCCCTTCTTGGATGAGTTTCTACTGGAGTGTGTCTTGATGACATCAGCTTTCCCAGAATGTGTCAAAGACTGAGTCTTTACATTCTTCGAGCTTTTGGACGAGCCAATTGAACTTCTCAGTGAAGCCGGTCTCTTCCTGGGACAGTTCTCATTGTTGTTGATTTCCATCGAAGTCAAACGGGTGGAGTGAGATTCCCAAGGCTTCTTCAACTCCTTGCAAACCAGCTCGCAACGAGGGCTCGAAGCATCACCAGCATCAATAGCCTTGGCGACAACGTCAATAAGGCTCTGTGGTCTAGCCTTGACTTTGCGTTCCAGCTTAGAGACAGCAGACTTCTCTTGAAGCTCATCATACGTCCCATCGTCAATAGCTTTTGCGACAACGTCAATAAGACTTTGAGGTCTAGCCTTGACCAGCTTTCTCTCAACCAGCTTAGTACCGGTACGAGAATCAGCAGCCTCAGCGTCAGCATCAATAACCTTTGTGACAGTGTCAACAGGACTTTGTGGTCTAGCTTTGACTTTGCGGACCAGCTTAAAGGCAGCAAACCTCTCTCCAAGATTAGCCTCAGTGCCATAGTCGATAGCCTTGGCAAGAACATCAATAAGACTTTGTGGCCTAGCCTTGACCAGCTCAGCCTTGATCAGCTTTCTCTCAACCAGTTCGGTACCGGTACGAGAATCAGCAATCTCGGCATCAGCATCAACAGCCTTGGCAACAACGCCAATGGGACTCTGTGGTCTAGCCTTGGCCAGCTTTCTCTCAACCAGTTCAGTACCGGTACGAGAGTCAGCGGTCTCAGCATCACCATCAATAGCCTTTGCGACAACATCAATAAGGCTTTGAGCCTTCACCAGCTCAGCACCAGTACAAGCGTCAGTAACATGCTTTTCAAGCTTGAGAGAACTACCAGCATCCGTCGAGCCGGTTATGTTACTCAAGTTCAAATTAGCATCCGAGTTCTTTCTGGTGCTTTTGGTAATGGTCTTGTTGTTGTCACAAACCACAATCAAACTCTCGGTCTTCTTGCAAACGACAGGCAGCTCGACCTTGGAACGAATCCTCAAAGGGAGCTCACCATCGCTGCGAAGACTCAAGTCAGACTTGGGAGAGAGACTCAATCCCATTTCCTTGGCATAGTTCTCAACAGCCTCAATGACCTCATCAGCACCAACACGAGGTGCACAAACAGATGATGGTTCTGCCTTTTGCTCAACCTTCTTGGGCAAAGGATCTCTCTTTCTGGGTAAAGAGGATGATGGCATAGACTCTTTTTTACTTGAAGATGGTCTAACATCAGATCCACGCCTAATTCGGTCGCTTCTCAAAGCAGAACGACGAGCAGCATACTGGGCAAGGAGTCTCGTGAGCTTCTCGTCAACGGTCTCCTCTCTCGTCATGAGAGGAGCAATCTGCTTAAGGGCAACTGGTTTGAGTCGTTCCAATTCCCGATAACCCCCAGTCGTCGGATCGCGAACCAACACCTTGTCTCCATCATAAAAAGATATCAGATCCGAACGCTGCAAGAGATTGATCTTAGCCTGGTTCTTTGACACTCTTGTCTTCGTACGGTCCATTGCTAACTTGATGGAGCTGAGAGAAGTCTTCCGTCTGCCATCGTCATGATACTGATTGCGACTCAAGTATTCATGAATATCAAGAAAGATGGCGGAAGGAGGAGTCATATCCCGTTGGCGACGGCGCACTGCTCCACGTCTTCCAAACCATCTTGAGTATCTCAAACGACGAAGCCTGTACTGAACTCTCAATTTGAAATGGTACGTTTTTTGTGCACCAAGCTTTATTGCACCTTTAACGCCATTCAAAAAGTGGGCAACACCAGACAAAGTGGATGAAACACTCTCAGAGGCTCCTGAGTTGCTCTCTGAACCATCAGCGGCATCAAAAATCGAACTTTCTTTACTCTCACTCAAAGATAATTTCGATTCAGTACGAGAAGCCCTTTTTTCATATTCCCCAAAATCAACGTACTTCATGGGTGGATTCAGCTCCACATTGTGGACCCGTTGTCTCTTTCCCATGGTACATCTGCACTCCTTCTCAAAACAGACACAAATATTTGCAATACTGTTGGATTTGAGCATCTTCGCAAGAATAGGTAATCTTGCAGTGGAGCAAACGCTCTTCGCACAAGTTGAAGAAGCAGCTTCCACTGGCAGAGTTGGTAACGTATGCTCTGAGTCTCCAGAATTTCTGGGTCTCAAAGACATAGGCAGAATAGACCCAGTGGATTTGGCCCGATTTTCCTTCTCAAAAAACCGTGTACTGTCACTTTTGAGCTTTGTAGAGCTCGATTGGTGGTCAAAATTTGATTTAAACCCACCCATTTTCTTTAGAATTCACTTAAAAAAACGTTTTTGTCTGGTGAATCCTAAGAGATTTGAGTACAAAAGCCTTTGAGTACAAAAGCCTTCAAGTTCTTAAAAGTGCACAAACCCGATTTGATAGTAGTGCCGCGAAATGGCAGGAGTGTTGAAAAGCGGTTTACTCTTATGATTGACTGGGTTGTAAGAGTACAATTGTGATGAACACATAAGACTGGTAACCCGACCTGTCTATCAATTGGTTTATAAGTAGCCAATACTGTTTTGTTTTTCAGCACCTAACCGTCACTTTCTCATAGCACATGTAGGGAATAAATCAACCAATAGGACTTATCTGTAACTTAACAACCAATTGAATGTTTCCATGTAAGCCTCTTCTCTCAGCAGCCGATCACGGTCAGTGGCTAACTCCCATGGCATGTGACTCCTTATAGTGCCAAAACAATTCAAAAGTCCTGCCATAAGGCCGCCATTAGCGAGTATGTAGGCTTCTTGTGATTTCAGCGTTTCGGCCTTAGTAATTGTAGTCAACTTCTGAATTGGAGTCAGGCTTGCTAGGCTGCTCGACAGCGGTGAGTGTGCAAGAAAATTATTGACATCTTCTGTCATCCTATAACTCTGTAGTCGACTGATTACAAAGGGCATGACAATAGTGTCTCTAAAGCTCGCTAGAAGCATATTTTCGGTCAAAATTCGAATCGAATTCTTGATCCCATATGCGTTTTCGATCAACATCTCGTTGAAATACTTTTGAAGGGGATGGAAAATCGCCAATAACTGAAAACGAACGTTCCTATTGAAATACGTCCATTTAGCTTCAACTTTTGCCCATTCTTTGCATAGCTTGACGACTTCCGGAAGTAATTCCTCTCTGTTCACTTCAGCATCTTTGTCGACCAGTAAAGTAAAATCAATCTGCTTGCTAAAATCATTCAGAAAGATCATCATGCACTTTGTAAAAAAGCTTTGTAGTTCAGCATGGGTTTCCCTGAACCGGAAGTCATCGAATTTGTCAGGGACATTATCGGTAAGGGACGAAGAGCTAGAAGAGTGCAATTGAGAGGAGATTTTGCGCACCCTTGCGGACCTTGTACTTGGAGATCGCTCTATCGGTTCTGGGGTGGAGCCATTTCGAGAAATGTTTTTGTAACCTTCAAGAAGTGAGGCGCCTAATTCCTCCACCAGCATACCTAGACATGCATGCTCAGTTCCATTTGAAAGCTTTTTTGACTGAGATGGTAGGATCAATGGTTTGATAGCATTCAAGAATGAGTTAAAGAGCTTCGCATAATTTCTCGCTTCAGCTACTGGCAACTGAGGGTCATCGTCGCTAGCAATTCCCAAACCTACTTCTTGATTGGGTAGCCTGTGTAAACGACTCAGTAAGAATTGATCTGTGGGCGTCATAAGTTTCTTGTGCATGTCGAATAAAGACGAGTGTTCATTGGCAGATTCAAAGTCATCAAGAGAATAGTTGGGGTCGGTGAATTTGTAAATGATCGCAAAGCTGACATCTGTGATTACCGAATTGGAGCTGCTGGAGGAAAGGGTTATGGTTGTACGAGAAGGGACAGTAACAGACTGCTGGGTAATCTGGTCGTCTGTCGAAAGAGACAACAGTTCGTGAGCCTGCGAATTGCTATGTGATCGGTGAAAGAAGTTGTGAAATGTGGAAGCTGGGGATGACGCAGGATTTTTATTTCCAGAAGATCCAGCTCCTGGACTCGCAGCGTCATCGAGCAGCGCCGAACTTCGTATCTTTTTCGGTACCTTTAATCCATGATGGCCGGCCGTGTGAATCGAAAGTTCGGGTTTTTTTGTGGATATTGAAAACTTGCTACGGGATTTCTTCCCTAGTTTGATCAATGATGAGGAAGATGGTGACGAATTCATTGTGGTAATTCTGGATACTTTGCTTGAAGGAGATGTAGTGTTTGCATCTTCACCATCACTTGTCTTATGTGGATCATGTTGTGTTTCTTCTATGTCATTCCCCTTGTTGAGGATACTTGTCATGGACCTGTTCTTTGTGAACAAGCGGCTGAGGGGGTTATTTGACTTGGTTGTGACAGTACTTATAGTGGAGGTGTCGGACAGATTAGTTGGCTGTTTACGCAAATTGTTGAAATCGACACTGGAGATCTGTGAAGCTCCAGCTAGGTTACTCCTGTCTACCGCAAACTGTAGGGTGCTGGATGACGAGTTGTTGTCATGGTAATATAAGGGATTGTTAGATTCCATTCCGATCGCTTAAATTCATTGAGAATAAATGTGGTGCGCGCGCTTCGAAATTGAAACCTCTGCGCCGTCGATTTGACACTAATAAGTCGCACTACCGATAGATTTTTTTAGTAGCTTGAAACGTCTACCCTTCTCTCAATTACCCTGCGCAATGTTGTCGTATGAGGAAAAAGCGTCTGAATGTATGAAAAACGAGGAGTATTCCAAGGCCATCAACTACTATACGCTCTGTATTAACAATGGAGAAGCCACTACCAAAGCCTACTCTGGTCGAGCAACGGCATACTATCACAATTGCAAGCAAAGTAATAGTTCAGATTCAACCTCGCAAATGAGAAAAGTGGCAAAAGATTGTCAGGATGCACTCAAGCTCGATGCCCAGAATTACGAAGCTAGCTACTACTTGGGATTATCGTATTCAGAAATGAAAGACAAAGGAGATAAAGGGTTGAAAATCATCCAAGAAGCATATCAGAAATCGCTCTCAAATGCTAAAACCTACAAGCATTACACTCTTCCCCAAAAAATCTACGAGACGCTTACAACCATGATGCAAGATAAGCGTCTCGAAAAGATAAAACAATCAGTAACCGACTCCGTTCCTCTTTTTGATAAGGTTCTTAGGGTTCGAGAAGCTCAATACCACCAAGATATTGACACTCTAACTAAAAACAAACGTGTAAGTTCAAAGTGGATGCAGCTAGCTAAGGTCAAGTTAGCCGAGAGATACCACCGAGATGTTGAAAATCTTGTGGACATTTTCTCACGAGGGTGTCCAGATCTGGCCATTGACCTAGAACCTCCGCTGTATTTATGTGATCCTATTTCCTTCCACCTATTTTTGGAGCCTATGGTGACCCCTTCGGGCCATTCTTACGAAAAGTCATGGCTTTTGCAACATCTTGAAAAGCACGACTACGATCCCTTGACTCGCCAGAAGATACAAAGAGACCAGTGCTATCCAAACTATGCTTTGAAACAGTGCGTTGATAACTATTTGCAATCTAAGGCTTTGTCTTGATTTGGCATCCATGCACCAAGTCTGCAACAGTTTTCCTAATTGGGCTTGATCCAAACAGAAATTGCGAAAAGGTAAACAGAATTGTTTCGAGGTACTTAACTCAGCAGACGGTCATTTGGAATTCAAGTCTGCAGTCATGTACGAAAATCATGATTCTCCTTCACTTCCTCATGCTGCATTTACCAGCGATAGAACATCACCTCGGCGCAATCATGCATTGAATCAAGACGACGACGAAGAAGAGTTTGTTGGATTTCCACTGTCGATACAAAGAAGTCCCAATGGCCTGCCTCAAAGGCAATCGCCAAATATATTCACGAGAAGCGCTGCCCGTACACCAGTTGTGAGTAGCCGCAATTTGAACTTATTGGAATCAGCTACGCCGAACCTCCAATTCGGTGGAGGAACTCCAAGGTCTCATTTTACATCTCGTGAATCTCCCAAGAGAGATAGAAGAACGGAAATAGCCATTGATGATCATGAAGATGAAGATGGCGATGTCTTTTCTGGATCTCCCAGAAGATCAACGTTCGGTCGCTCAAACAACAGTTCCAATAGAAGCGAACGATTCTTGGCTCCGCCCCAACCCATTTTTTCGCCTGAGACATTTGCCGAAGCAAACCCTTTCAGCGATGAAAAAGAGTATGATGATAATGATTCAGGTGACGAGAAGACTGTGACAAGTAGAACTCCACGTGCAAGTTACGACTACGATACTTACCAAAAGGCACATGATTTCGAAGAACAATCCTTGTACTCTGAGTCCACTGCATATTCCGGAGCCAAATCCTATACTTCCTCTGCGGGCGAGGAAAGCGAGTACTTTGGCGCTTCAATTGACAGAAATGTGATGCAAAATATTGACGACGGATATGTTCCAAAGAGAGACAAAACACTCACGAAAAGAAAAGTTAGATTAGTCGGAGGAAAAACTGGAAATTTGGTATTGGAAAATCCCATCCCTGAGGAGTTAAAGAATGTTTTGACTCGTACTGAGTCACCCTTTGGCGAATTTACGAACATGACATACACTGCTTGTACCTCTGAACCCGACACGTTTGCTAGTGAGGGATTCACACTTCGTCCTGCAAAGTATGGCAGAGAGACTGAGATTGTCATCTGTGTTACCTTATACAATGAAGATGAGTTCTCTTTTGCAAGAACAATGCATGGCGTGATGAAGAATGTGGCTCATCTTTGTTCAAGACACAAATCAACTACATGGGGCAAGGATTCATGGAAGAAAATTCAAGTGATAATCGTGGCAGATGGTAGAAATAAAGTCAATGAATCTGTGTTACAATTGTTGACAGCCACTGGTTGTTATCAGGGTAACTTGGCAAGATCCTATGTGAATAATAAAAAGGTGAATGCCCACTTATTCGAATACACTACTCAGATTTCCATCGATGAAAACCTCAAGTTCAAAGGTGACGAGAAGAATTTAGCTCCAGTCCAGGTTATGTTCTGTCTCAAAGAAAAAAATCAAAAGAAAATCAATTCTCACAGATGGCTCTTTAATGCTTTTTGTCCCATTCTTGACCCTAACGTTGTTATATTGCTCGATGTCGGAACCAAGCCAGACAACCATGCTATCTACAACCTCTGGAAGGCATTTGATCGCGACTCCAATGTGGCGGGTGCCGCTGGAGAGATCAAGGCCATGAAAGGAAAAGGCTGGATCAACCTCACAAATCCGTTGGTTGCATCGCAAAATTTCGAGTACAAAATGTCTAACATCCTTGATAAACCCTTGGAATCATTGTTCGGTTGTATTTCTGTCTTGCCAGGAGCATTGTCAGCATATCGATACATTGCACTTACAAACAATGAAGATGGAACTGGTCCTCTTGCCTCATACTTCAAAGGTGAAGATCTTTTGAATGCTGCGAGCCACGATGTTAAGACCAACTCTAAGACCAACTTTTTTGAAGCAAATATGTACCTTGCAGAAGATCGTATCTTGTGTTGGGAATTAGTGGCTAAGAAAAATGAGAATTGGGTCTTAAAATTTGTCAAACTGGCCACTGGAGAAACAGATGTTCCAGAAACACTCAGTGAATTCTTATCACAGAGGCGTCGTTGGATCAATGGTGCATTTTTTGCAGCATTGTACTCTTTGAAAAACTTTAACAAAATTTGGCAAACTGACCACTCTTTGCTTCGAAAGTTCTGGTTACACGTTGAATTTGTTTATCAGTTTATCACCCTCGTCTTTTCGTTTTTCTCGTTGAGTAACTTCTACTTGACATTCTACTTCTTGACCGGCTCCCTTGTGTCTACCAAGAATTTTGGTAATAATGGAGGATTCTGGATCTTCACGATTTTCAACTATTTGTGCATTTGTGTTTTGACTTCATTGTTCATTGTTTCAATTGGTAATCGACCTCAAGCCTCACGTCATATATTCAAGACATTGATAATACTTTTGACCGTGTGTGCGCTTTATGCTTTGATGTCGGCTTTAATCCAC